AGGACTTTATTGTTTTCTTCTAATTTGTTTGCCTTTTCCTCTAGTTGTTTACAGCTTTCTTCCAATTTTTTGTCATTTCCTCTACACAACCCTCTACCTTCTTCATGATGTTACTCATAAGGCTACTTTCTTCTGCTTCTTCCCATTTTTGGTTTTTCAAGACAGGGTTTCCCTGTGTAGCTTTGCAACTTTCCTGGCTCTCACTTCATAGAACAGGCTTGCTTTGAACTCACAGAGATCCACCAGCCTCTGCCTCCTGAGTGCTGGGATGAAAGGCATGTGCCAGCACCACACAGCTCAGCTCTTTATTAAACCAATCAGGTGTCTTAAGCAAGTGGGGCAAAGTATAGACAGATCATTACACCATATAAACAAACATTCTGTAACAGGACTTCCTTCAATTTTTATAACACTTCAGAAATAAAATATTCTTCAAAATTTCTGAAATTGTAATTTTTGGCTAAGTCAACATACTTTTATTTTACTAGGAATATTTTAGATTATATTAAATGTGGTTGATGTGGATTTTCCTATCTGCTTGGTAGTAGCTCAACAAAGCTTATAAAATAATCACATATACTACCTGTTTTATACATTAATGTTAAAATTGACAGTATGTAGTGTTATTGCACTCATTGTTACTGTGGATAAAAGGAAAATTCTATGCCTATGAACTCAACCATGAATACTACCATCCATATCTACCACTTTGCTCTTTAAAGGAATGGCATTTGACCTAGAGATTTTACATATGAACTGAGCATGTAAGAATGCAATCATGTAAGGCTGAAAAAGCACAGAATTGATTGAGTGGAAGTATTTTACCATGATCTACAGGTAAAGAAATTAAAGCACATTTCCTCATTATGAATTTTCTTTCTGAGACATGTACATTGTGATCCTGTGGGACATAAACACAGCATCCATTACAGATGAAAAACCATGTGCAGACCTTAAATATGTGTTGTTTTGTGTACATTGTGAGCATTTGTGTCATCCTGTTTTCTCACAGTTAGAAAAATCCATTATAGAATGTGACTGTATTAAAATCATGTGTTTGAGTGATTACCTTCATCATTTACATCCCTAATTTCTTCAACTCTACTTATATCCAGGGAACCACTCTGTCTGGTAGCCTGTGTGTTGCTGACATTGCAACTGGGGTCCTGAGGTCCCTGATCCTAGGGAAGGGGGTGAGCAGACACAGATTTCAATGGCACAGACTCTGTGAGGTGTGCAAGCAATCTATCATTTCCTAAACAAAGAGCTAAGGTTTATATATGTGGGGTTTTGGAAGGCTGTGATCCTAGCTGCTGTGGCAATTCTTGGTTGGCTCTGGGCTGCAGGTCATCATGTATTTGTTTGGAGCTTATGATCAGTTTTCCTCCACCTAGCATGCTATCTACCCATGTCATAGCTCTTTGTTTGCTTAAGGCATGACCCAGTGATTTTGGCCTTACCCGCCCAACACATGGTCAAACAAATTTTGTTTCAGGGTCTGTTGACATTCAGGGATGTGACTGTGAATTTCTCCCAAGAGAAGTGGGAATACCTGAACACTGCTCAGAGGGCTTTGTACATTGATGTGATGTTGGAGAATTACAACAACCTGCTCTTTCTGGGTAAGAACATTTTATTCCTATAATTCTAAATAATCCTTTATATGCATTGGCATTATAGATGATAAACTCTCTGTTAAGCTGTGTTAATAACAGCAGGAAACTAGGGAAGGATTGGTAGTAGAAGAGAACATTTTCATGGTAATTTGATTTTTTTTCTTTCCACTTTCCATGTCAGACATGTCATGTACCCCTCATTTAGGTTCCACAATGCATTCAGAAACATAGTATTATATAACATTTATACCCATATCTTAAAGATCCATGTCCATAGTAATACCTGACATGGTTTTAATGGTGAGAAAATAACTCAAGATATGCAAACTAAAATTCTCCTTAAATACTTTGAAGATTCTGATATGAAATAGCAATAGAAATTCATTCTTAGATTCCTCTACTTTCTGTTCTCTTCATGTATGTAGCGCAATACTGTTTCAGACATCTGTATTCTTTCTAAAAATTCTAGCATGTGTCATGGTATACCTCAGAGAACACAGGAATTATTGTATAGGAGTTAGGCCTTGTCACCTGTCCAGAGCAAATGATATTGCCCTGGAATGTGAAGAGGAGAGGCTAGCCACTAGCAGGCTGAGCTAGTGAATGAGTTGGAAAGCAGTGATGGCTTCCAGGGAAACAGAAGGCAAGACTGACAGTGGTTTGTGATGCTCAATTCCACTTGACAAGATTTCTTATAATTTGATTTGGTGTAATGTCCTGGTGGCAGTGTGCATCCTCCATTTTGGTAACTTGTTGCCTATTACAGAATTATGGTGACAATATTAGTAAAAATGCAGGTATAGTTGACTATGCTGACATCATAGTATGGAGTAATTTCAAAATTATAAGCCAAATGTATGCCCATGAAGTACAATTAGTCTCTAAATGCATTCCTTGCTACCTGACTTTATATTACACACTTAGTTTTCTTCTTAGTGGAGAATACACAGACAACCTTCTGGAAAATATCTCAGGAGTTAGTATACAGACTAGACTTGAGAATTACCATGTAAGGAATGTTAAACACAGCAATATGTGGATCTCAGAATGAGGAGAACAGAAATAAGCAATAGTTGCCAATGACAACTGCCTCAAACAATCTAGACACTCTTCTGTCTAGCAAAATACTTGGCTTGCCTCCATTACTTTTGAAGACTCTAATGAGTTTTTCTAGAGAGATAAGGAAATCCTGTGTTGCTTTTAAGTAAGACTTTAAACTTTAAAGGAATTAGATATTCTGTATAGTTCTCTTGATTGATTATCACTTAGTAAATATAAATACTGTGAACCTGAGTGTGGATTATTCCCTTCTTCAATATGAGAGAGGAAATTTTCAACATAGAGACACTTATTCTAAACATAATCCATGAATGAGCTTCTTCTAAAAGTTAATTATTGATTCTGCAAATTCAAGATCTGTCATGTTTCAATAAGGATGAGTTATCTATTATTAATCACAGACCCTTGAAGTCTGTCAAACTGTTTTGTGAGAATACATCCACTTACAGTGAAAGAAAAATATCTAAGATGCTGCCAGTTGACTTATCTTAAGAGAGAACTTAGAGAGACTGTCACTTATCATATGTTTGTTATTAGAACAAGCCCTGATAATATGACCTTACTCATTTTCAGAGAAATATTTCCAACGTGATCCTGTCCATCAGCATGTGAAGATTGAAAGTGAGTCACGTCAGTGTAATGAGCTTGACAAAATACTTCCTGACCCCTCCATATATGCACATTATAGAACAAGTGAAACTACAGAAAACTCTAATAACTACAGATGCATTAATCACAGGGATGCCTCTATTGACTCATCAAATCCAGATAGACATGAAAGTATGCACACTGGAGAAGATCCTTGCAAATCTAAAGACTGTGAGAAATGCTTAAATTTGTGTTCCAACATTACTCAAGTTCAGAGACTGTACACTGCAAAGAAAGAGCACAGGCAGGGAGAATTTGATGGCTATTTTGGCTCTGCACACAGTCTTCTGAAACAACCAGGCTATATTGGAGAGACACCACACCAATGTGGGAAATGCATGAAATGCTTCAGTACTGCCTCAAACCTGACTCTACATAAGAGAATTCATCCAGGATTGACGTATTACAAATGTAAGGAATGTGATGTATCCTTTACTCTGAAGTCAACTCTCATAAAACATCAGAGAATTCATACTGGAGAGAAACCCTACAAGTGCAACTATTGCAAAAAATCCTTTTCCCACTGCTCAAATAATAAAACACATAAAAATCTCCATACTGGGGAGAAACCTTACAAATGTACTCAATGTGACAAATCCTTTACCTGGGAATCACGACTCAGAATACATCAGAGAATTCATACTGGAGAGAAACCTTACAGATGTAAGGAATGTGACAAATCCTTTACCACTTGTGGAAATCTTTCAAGACATCACAGAGTCCACACTGGGGAGAAACCTTACAAATGTAACAAATGTGACAGGTGCTTTAATCAGGCCTCAACTTGTATAGAGCATCAGAGAACGCATACTGGAGAGAAACCCTACAAATGCAACTTTTGTGACAAATCCTTTAGACAGTGTTCAAGTCTTAGGAAACATCAAAGAATTCATACTGGGGAGAAACCTTACAAATGTAGTCAATGTGACAAAACCTTTTCCCAGAACTCACATCTTAGAAGACATCAGAGAGTTCATACTTGAGAGAGACTTTACAGATGTAAGGAATATGACAAATCCTTTACTACTTGCTTACATCTTAAAACAAATCAGAGCAGTCACCCTGGAGAGAAAACTTACAAATATAAGGAATGTGACAAGTCCTTTACACAGGACTCAAATCTTAGAACACATCAGAGAATCCATATTGGAAAGAGACATTAAAATGTAAGGAATGTGGCAAATCCTTTTCTACATGTTAAACTCTTAGAGAACATCAGATAATACATACCAGATAAAAATTTTACAAAGGTTGCAATGTGACAAGTCTGTTAGTACATGCTCACATCTTAGACTACACCAGAAAAATCATACTGGAGAGAAACCTTATAATGCAAAGACTGTGACATATTCTTTAATATGATTTCAGATCTTAGAAGACACCAGAATCTTCATAATGGAGAGAAACCCCACAAATGCCTGGAATGAGAGAAATCCTTTACCTACCTGTCAAATTTTAGAACACATTAGAGATTTCACACTGCAGAGAGACTTCAAAGATGTGAGGAATGTGATATGTGTTTTACTAGCTGCTCATATCTTAAAGCATATCAGAAAATTCATATTGGAAAGAAACTTCATAAATTCAAAGATTGTGGCATATCCAATATCTACTTTCAAATCTTAGAAGACCTTGAAGAGTTCATAATGGACAGAAAAAAATATTATTGCAAATTTTGTGACAGCATTTATATGGTATTCTCTGCTTACAAATACCAAGTATACATAATAGAAATAAAAGGATAAGATATTGTGAAAGTCTTCAGTGATGTTTTATATCTAATAAACTACCACAGGGTTTATATTTAAATAAAATTCTGCAATTGTAACTGTGTGAATCATCCTTTAGGTGTATGGGTGCTTTGTCAGTAAGACTTTCTGTCCACTACATGTTTTTATGATGGATGTAGAGTCCAGAAGAGGGCACCAGATACCCTGAAGCTCTACTTAAAAACAGTTGTGTGCTGTTCTCTGCTTTGAGAATTGAACCGTGGTCCCTGGAAGAGCAAAGACTACTTTATCTTCAAAGTAATCTCTCCATCCCTGGAGAAGAGCTATAATAAAAACATTTAGCTTGTTCATCCAAAAATTGATAATAATGCCATTCAAGTTAGCACATGTTTTTAATCCCAGAACTCAAGAAGCAGGAGCAAGAAGATCTCTATGAGTCTGAGCCCATGCTTCTCAATATAATGAGTTTAAGAACTGTCACAACTAAGTGTTGAGCAACACCATGTACTTAGGGTATTTAAGCAAGACCGCTGAAAACTATCTTTTTTTATTTGGTATGCTTCTGGGCCTCCATGGCCAGTAAGTTCAAGGGAGATAAATAGTGCATAGTACAGAGAGTTGCATTTGATGCCACTGTGACTGGGACCAGCATTACTGAACCATGTGGAAGAGCTCTGTTCAAAGTAATAAAGTTATATTTGATTAACTCATAAGACTGTGGGATTTCATGAGGCTTCTTCATTTATTTTTATTTATTTTATTTTTTTAGTTTTGCAAGACAGGTTTCTCAGTGTAGCTTGGTGTCTTTCCTGGAACTTATTCTATAGCCCAGGCTGGCCTTGAACTCACAAAGATCCACCTGTCTCTGCCTCTCAAGTGCTGGTATTAAAGGCATACCCCACCACCACCAGACCTATGAAGCTTTTTTATAAAGTCATTCTTTTGGTTAACCCACTCCTCCTTTCTTTTTATGCCAACCCCAGTTGAACATTTAACACACATTAATCAATGACTGATATTTTATAACACTTGTGTTCTACTATACTCTCTTATTGTTTGCTTTTCATGGGTTGCAAAATAATAATTTCATGGAGCATGAACTTACTTCATGGACATCCCATTTGAGGGACCAGCAGTCCCCTCTTCTCTATCACTGCACCACATATTTGAAATATTCTGTCCATTTTCTAATTTCATATCACCTATATTCTACTATTTATCCTCTCTTCCTACATTTCCCCACTAAAGGACTATTTCTGACTTAACATTTTCTACATGTAGTCTTACTTGAACACAAAAAGCAACAAGATTGAAGCTAGGACCCACATTTGAATTTACCCATGTGTCCTTTGATGGACATCTAATTTGATTCTACACCCTAGATTCTGTCAATAAAGCAGTGTTGAACTATGATATGCAAGTTCTCATTGGCAAAATGGCATGTCCTTGAAGTTTGTGCCTAGGAGTGTTGTGTACCAATTGCTCTGATATTAAATTGCTTCATTTTGTAGGATGATCCTTAAAATACACATTATTAAAAGAGATATAAAAGGAATGGAATGCTCCAATGTAGTAATTCTCAAATTTCTTAATGTTGTGACACTTTGATAATGTTTATCATGTTGTAGTTTCCCCAAATGAAAAAAATTATTCTTGTTCTAATTTATATCTCTAATATTGCTGCTTTTATAAATCATAATGTAAGTATCTGATATGTAGGCTATGTGGTATATGAGCCAATTGGGTCCTGATGAAAAAGTTCAATGCTGCTGCTCTGAGAGAAGGTAAAATATTCTATGTGGCAAAGAATAACCAGAAGCTCAGAAATAGACAATAGCTTTAAGAACCTGGTAAGATTCACTAGTACTCTTGTGCCTCAAGCATATATAATAAATAAGGACTACTGACACTGTCACAGAAGCTTCACTGCAAAGAAGATGCTTAGACCAGCCATGAAGCAGACACCATTCAAGGTGCCTGGATGAGACAAGAAAAGACAAGCTGCCTGGAGGAGGTAGTAAGGGGTGAAAGACACTTCCAATCTCCTTTGAGCTGCCAGCAATCTGTGTAGTGATCCCCAGGTTTCTACCTGCATTAGCCATCATTTTCAAAGAGTCATACAGATGCCATTGAGTTCTTCAAACATTTTTTTTTTCAAGATAGAATTTGTGTGTGTAGTTTTGGTGCCTGTCTTGGATCTTGCTCTGTAGACCAGGCTAACCTCAAACTCACAGAGATTTGCCTGGCTCTGCCTTCTGCTCTGGGATGTTCTGTATGTTATGTTGTTGCTCCAACTGGGTAATAAATAAAACACTAATTGGCCAGTACTCAGGCAGGAAGTATATGCAGGACAAAGAGAAGAGACCTGGGGGAAGTAGAAGGCTGAGGCAGAGAGATGCTGCCAGGTACTGCCAAGAGAAGATGTTAAGATACAGGCAAGCAATGAGTCACATCACAACTTATAGATTAATAGAAATGGGTTAATTTAAGATATATGAACAGCTAGCAAGAAACCTGAGCCATTGGGCCTAACAGTTTAAGGAATATAAGTCTCTGTGTGTTTACTTGGTTGGGTCTGAGCAGCTGAGCTGCTGGAATGGTGGGTGAGAGAGATTTGTCCTGACTGTGGGCCATGCAGGACCAAGAAAACTCAAGCTACCGCCTCCTTAGTGCTGGGATTAAAGGCGTTAACCTCCACCACCACACTCCTTCATGCTTTTATAAGTATTCTGTCACACATGCTCTTTTAAGTCACACCAGCATAATTTACTGGTCAATTTAGCTTTAAAGATTACTCAGTGGTTAAGAGCACTGTCTGATTTTTTTTTTGGTTTGGTTTTACGAGACAGGGTTTCTCTGCATAGCTTTGTGGCACCTTTCTTGGAGCTCACTTGGTAGCCCAGGCTGGCCTCGAACTCACAGAGATCTGCCTGGCTCTGCCTCCCGAGTGCGGGGATTAAAGGTATGCGCCACCACAGCCCGGCATGCACTGTCTGATTTTTAAGAAGACTCACTTGGAATTTCTACCACCCTCACATGGGCATGCAATCTGTAACCTCAAATCAAGGATATCCAATGCTCTCTTCTTGTATCTGCTAGCACTAAGCACACACATGGTACACAATCATACATGTAGACAAAATACCTCTAATCAAGAAAACAGAATCCTTATTGGTTCATCAATGAGGTTATCTGGTTTTGCCAATTTTGTTTGTCATTGTTTCCACAGGAATAGTGTCACACACTGCTGCTGTAATTGCATACTGCAGTAGTGTTCATCCCTTCCTTTATTCATTGTTTCGAGAACACGAAACTGATTTCAAAAGTTGATTCTCTAGTTCTAACTCCCACAGCTGGGTTTGAACTCCTTTCCCCATATTTATGCAAATTAGTTATCATTTAGTTTTTAATTTAAATTTTTTAACTTTACTCAAAAACCCCAGTTACCCATCCCTCCCCTTCTCCGACTCCCTGACCTCTCCTCATCTCACCCCCATCTACTCCTCAAAAGGGATAAATCCTCCCTTTGTGGAGTCAACAAAGTCTGGCATACCAAGTTTTTGGTGACCAAGCATCTCCCCCCTACATCAAAGCTGAGTAATGTATCCTTCCATAGGGAGTGGGGTCCAAATAGTCAGCTCATGTACCTGGGATAATTGCTGGTCAGACTACCGGGCACCCCACAAACAGATCAATCCACACAACTGTCCCTCATATCTAGAGGGCCTACTTTGGTCCCAATCAGAATTCTCAGCTGACAGGCCAGAGTACATGATCTCCACTAGCTCAGGTCAGCTGTCTTTGTGGTTTTTCCTGTCATAATCTTGACCCCCATTGCTCATATGATCCTTCCTCCCTGCAAGAGATATCATGACAGAGAGAGACAACCTGGAGATAGGGAGAAAGCTGGTGTTAGCAAAGTTCCCAGGAATCCACAATGATAACTTCACCTTAGACTACTAGCTGTAGAAGAGAGGGTGAATGAACTTGTCTACCCAGGTAATCAGATCAGTGAATACCCTAACTGTCATCATAGAGCTTTCATCCAGTAACTGATAGAAGCAGATACAGAGATCCACAATCAAGCACCAGGTGAAGCTTCAGGAATCCACTCAAAGAGAGAGAAAAGGGATTCTATGAGCAAGGGGCATTATGATCATGATGAGGAAATGTACAGAGACAATCAAACCCAACTAGCTGGAACTCATGGACCAATAGCTGTGGAGCCTCCATGTGACTGGACTAGGATCTCATCATAGGCAAGACAGTTGTGTAGCTTGATCTGCTTAAGGGGACACCTGGCAGTGGCATCAGGATCCATCACTGGTGCATAATCAGGCTTTTTGAGCCCACTGCCTACAGTGGGACTGTAAGTAAACTGCAAAAAACTCTGGGATTGGTGTCCCGGATTTTGGAACAAAAATGTCAATAAA